ATATAAAGGAATCCTAAACTACCGGCTCAACTAATGCCAGTAGCAGCTCATCTCTCAGCCTCTCTGGTCATTTTCAGTTTGCTGAAATGTCAGAGAATCATTAATTATTGATACCAAACTGTTCTTTATGGTTATTTATTGTCATGTAATAAATATCCTGGTATCATACGACAAAACAGAAGTTGCTTTCAACCATAGTTCTGCATTTATTGTGACTTCAGGATATTACAAACGGATCTTTTTAGGACTCATAAGACTTCATGTGATCTGTGTTTGGACCTTTGTTGTCTGGAAAAATGTTTTAAGGGGCTTTACTAATTAGTTTACGACCGTGTTCCTTCAATATTAACTAGTTGACAAGCTTTTTATTGCAGCTGAGTCACACACAGAGGTCTCCTTCTCTTTCTCACAAACAATAATCTCACTATTGTAGCGCATTCATACACAAAATCAGCCGCGTCTAGATTCTCTTCAGCAAACACAAGAAATTCCTCCATTTAATCATTTCTAATCGCTCGTTCACTAATTTGTGTTATTGCTTATTTGTGTGAAATCATATCAGATCTTTCTATTACTTGATTGGCTAAAGGATGGAGATCATTTCAAGAATATTGGACACGCTGTTCCCCAGAGTTATTACGTTTCAGCGGAGGATATACCATGTGTGTATAATCTATGTTTTCTGCTCGGTCACTCGAGAATACGCTGATTGATTTTCAAGGACTGATACACCTCGTCACGACCCTCACAGTGTTTCTCTCCAAAGCTGAGGGAGTGCATGCATCAGAATCAATCAGCGTCCTCTGAGTTGAGCGGAGCAGACAGAGTACGAGGAAATACTGCTTTAGATGGACCCGCCTGCAGCGAACACACACATGCTAACACACACATACGCCGGGGCAGAGGTAACACGCAAAAGCAGGCAGCTGTGTTGTTACGTTCGAGCACATAAACTTTATTTGACCAGCGATTTGCAGAGTGCTCTGCGCTGAGTAAATTATGTTTAGGGCCCCTCGCCGCCCACGCTCGATCACTATTTAACTTTAATCTAAACGTGAAAACAGTCAAACGATTTGTCTGCAGATCTAAGATTAGAAATTCATTCATTTAAAAACGATGAAAACTTTCTTTAAGCCGAGTCCAACCCAGATCAGAGTAATCTGCGAACTCTTCAACCCTGCTGAAATCCGCTGACAGACGCCGCAGACGTGTTTGAAATAGTTAACCTTTATGATCTCTCCTCTTATTGGGAGTTAAAAGCCTACCTGTCATATCTCGGAGCGATAAGCTGAGCAAACACATCAACACCAGACTGTTCCTGCTGCTCCATTGACTCCACAGACAGCTCTGCTATTAGCCTCTACTGAACATGTAAAGTGAGCAGAAATGCCCTCTAATGCACTCCTTAAAGAGCTTTTTGACGAGCGTTCGCCTGTCACTGAGCGCTGATTTAGTAGAATGAGTTTTATTAGCCACAGGAGAGATCATATCGAGGGTCTCTGTTTGTACCGTCTAAAGCTACAGACTGTTCTCGGTGAAATCTATTAACCTTTTTTAATGTCAGTGCTGTACCCTTTTTTTTTTTCTGTTACTCATTTTGTAAAAGAAAAAGTAAAGGACTGATGGTGAAAGAAACAAAGGGGAACTACTTCATATCTGAGTTTTGAGATATTTAGACTTCATTTAAGGTTTCTAGACCGCCCTCTTTATTGCATATATCTGCACCTTTTATTTCTAGGAAGGCCTCTGTATTAAAGCGCAACATCTGAGTGAAGTTTTGATGATTGTATCTGCATCAATAATCAACATCAAAACAAATGAAAACATGAGACAGATGACTGTCGTCCTTGAGCAACAGAGCACAACAGACATGATGGAAGAGGAGACAGCAACTGTGTTTGGAGATGAAGACTAAAAATCACAGGAGAAGAGGACTAGAGTCTATAACGAAGACGATAAGAGGGTCAGTAAAAGTCCAGGTCCAGATTCATACAGTCAGACCAGACCACTACAGTTAGTCCAGGTTCAAGCAATCAGACCAGGTTTATACGGTCAGAACAGATTTATAGAGTCAGACCAGAATGAAGCATAGCGTTAGTTCTGGCAGGTCACAACGTCAGGCGCTGATTCGCAGCCAATGGCATGTAGACACCTCAGCCAGCTGATAGCCCAGCTGATTTCCTCCTAGCTCCTATTGGTCCTATGCCTATAGAGCGCCCTGTTTAAAACTGCCCTAACCCAGCCTCTTCCTCTGCTTCGACAGAGGAGCAGAGAAAGGTGTTCTAGACTTGACCCTGACTCAAATGTAGTCCTTCTTCTTCGCCGTGATAATTTACATGATCTGCAGTTTCAAAGTCCAAACACACGCCTCGCTGGGTCAACCTTGAGTCTGCAGGCCTGTAGGACAGCTGACGATGCTCTCGCTATTTAAAGTTCTTAAATTGCAGAGAGTCTTCCTGGCTAACAATAGGAGAGTCTCTGCGGAGGGTTGGTACTGTAAACACGGTCTGGAATAAATCAGCCGCTGTCACAGAAAGCAGACGAGGCCTCTTCACCGCTGCACATTCCCAGAACAGAAGTAAGCAAAAGCGGCGCACAGACGATGAATGGATGGACGGATGAATGTTCCTGAGAGACGACTTTGAGTTTAAATCGTCGTCTTTGTGTTTACAGCAGATTGGTGGTACTAAAATGAGCTGAGAGGGAAATGTTTGGACAGCGAGTAAAACAAAAGCGTGTGCAGCTCGTGCTCTCGCTGAAGATTTTCTGTGTTTAGATCATCCGGGTAGACGTGTCTGTATCCTGCTGTAGCTCCACCGCTGTCACTGCAGCTGCTGCTGGACGAACAGAGTCTCACACACCATGACGGCCTCCAGATACCTCGAACAGATGAGGTCCCAAATGGAGTTAAAAGGTCAGTGAATGCATCACACTCAGCCGCTATCCATAACACCCTATATCCTCTTCTTCTTCTTCTTCCTCTTCCTCTCTTCCTCACTCACAGGTTATCGATCTGCGCTCATCTGGGAAATGTGGCCCGTATTTGGCCTCATCAGCTGGGAGAGAGATGACATTTAATCCGAGCCGAGAGTCCACGTGAAAGTGTAGAGTGCCATCGGTGACCCGTGAGACAGGTCTGGAGGGATAAGCCATCAAAATAATGAAAAAGCAGAGCTGTGTCTGCCTGTGCCGACTGCTTCACACACTGCTGGTGTTTATAAACGCTCTGTTTAACAAGAGAGAAGCTGCAAAGCATAGCAATATCTCGACTCGTTCATTCCTGGGTCGCTTGATTAATCGGCAAAAACAGGAAAAAATAACCTGCAGGTGATTCTAAAGTGGCTTCTCCTCATCTCTTCTCAAGAGAGGCTGAAACTCCTCACATACGACACAAACAAGCTAAAATATCACAGGTGAGTTAGTGATAAAGCACTGATTTTTAGGACTTGTGAACCATCTCGCACTCAGGTAGTCACGACTTAGACTTGTACTCAAACTGGAACACGTTTATTAATAAAAAACGCTTTAATGATCGTGTCAGGTGCGTTACATAAGGCTCTAATGATTTATTCAGTTAGCACGTGTGCTCACCTCCATGCCCCGAGATGTGATGTATTGTTCGTCAGAGTTCCTGCAAAGACACGGAGTCCCTATGAATCATGCATTTTGCCTTTAAGAGTTTAGACTGAAAGATTCAATCACTGGATACACGATGTTTGGTTAGTGTAAAACCTGAATAATCTAAGACCTTTTTAATTTTCCTGATGTAGTCTCATATTTAAAGGGGGCAGGATGCTGGTTTCCAATCCAAACATGCAGGAGAACCTCCCTTCAAACAAACATTTATTAAAGTATATCTTGTTTCGAGTGTTTGTGAGTTTGTCAGACGCCTGCAGTGATTCTAATGCAGCAGCATCGATGAGTGCGTCCCCTCATTAAGAGGAGTGCTGTGCACGTCGACGCAGCCCTGCAACTTCACTGAGAATTAAATCTTTGAACATGTCGACAGGATTTGTTTGGATCTAATGTAATAAAAGTGTTTCCTCTGTCACAGTCAGTCCAGATTTATGCTGTCAGTCTTTCAAAGTGGACGTGATTTGGACTCAGACACAGGTAACTTCCGTTTCTTTCAGCTGACTCAGATTTATCTGGGACTTGAGCACAGAGACAGAGATGACAAACCCTAAATCTGAAGCTGACACGGTGATAAATTTATTGATCCGTAATCACTGATAGTTATATCTGGAAAGGTCACCAAAACTCCCTCTCTGTTATTCTTTCTTAGATAACAAAAGTGACGTTTCTACTCAACAAATCTGACCCCGCATAAACTCTCACTTATTGATCATGAGCAGTGATGATTGAAATGCTTTTAAACAGTGAAGTGTTGTGATTTTTTTGCCGAGAGCTAAATATCTCCTGTGTTACCTGCTTCTTCTGCTACACCGACGATGTTAGGCCACGAACTAGTATGAAGAGGAGTGTGCAGAACAGCGCTGTCTCCGCCCACGACTCAGAGGCGAGTTACTAATGAGCTACAGGAGCTCTGCAGAAGAAAAGAAAAGCCCTTGAAAATGACACAGGTAACGCAATTTTGGCTAAAAACTTCATAATCACAATTTAAAGACCCCTAAAAACATTTAAAGTAGTAAAAAATAGAAAACATCGGAGTGGGACTTCAATGAAGCGTAGTAAAGGGACACCGACCCTCTCGCAACAGTTTCAGGCATAAAAAGTTACACTATGAAAACATCAGTCTGATGGCATCAATATGAGTTTCGGTCTGTTTCATAACTGTTGAAAAAAATCCCTCAGAGGAGCTTTAAGTTGAGACATTTTTCTGAGAATCACTTCAGCTACATCTGTATTTATCTCAGTGCCTTCCTGCTCCCAAATCTCCCCGCCTTGAGGCATCCATCCTTGGTGTACATAAACAACACTCTCTCGGAGCCCAGACTACCTTTTTCCCGTCCGTTATCTCTTTTCTTTGTGAATATTTCATGCTCTGCTGGTCATTAAACTGCCTGTCCCAGAGCGCCGTCTTCCCCCTTTGTGGGAGGCAAGTGGTTGCTCTTCAGCAGCACTTAGTGTCTTCACCGCAGATTGAACGCTGCCATGATCGTGACCGCGCCGTGAGCCCCGCTGAGTTAAAGGAGAGACGAGGAGCTCAGAGGAGCGTCACTAAATGCAGGCGTACGCTCAGAGACGGCGAGGAATGTCTGAGAGATTGGGAGGCTGGAGTGGATAACAGAGCAGCTAGTAAGAGTTTCCCTCAGCTGGGAGACGGCGTTTGGTTCGCTTATCTCCAGAGATACTTAATGGAAGGAAAATTTACATCGCCAACAGCCATCAGAGCACTCTGTTTTACAAGTCACCTTGTTAAACCATCAAGTGTTTTATGTGCCCAGACAGAGAGGGTTTTCACGTTGTCAAAAGAGACATTGAGCAGCTTCAGTCTGGCCAACAGATTTTTCATTTCATCAGCGCCTTAATCAGCTGAGAGTTTTATAGTTTTACAGTTAGACGCATTTTTCCGTTGTTGTTGTTGAGGGGCAAGTGCTTAAAGGGAGCTACAACTACAAATAATCAATCAATCAAAGTCAACTACTTACAAACTATTTTGATGATCTGTCCTTTTAAAGCTCCAGTGAGGAATATTTTTGTGTAAATAAAATAGACTGAAGTTTATTATGAGGCCTTTACATGCAATACAAAACCAGCCAGATGCATGTAATGAATGAGTTTAGTGAGGATCCACAGTGGGCGCAAAAAGTGACAAAAACTAAAATTTCCTAACAGGAGCTTTAAGTTGTTTTTCTGTGACAAAACTTTTAATATTTGCTGGTTCCGGCTTCTTGTATATAAGAATTTGCTGCTTTTCTGTGTCATTTATCAAAGTAACTAAAGACTTTAAGGGATTTTAATTATTGTAGAAATCAAAAGTCCATTTGTCACATTTGTTCAAGTTATTTTCTATTTTTACTGCTGACACGTCTGTCCTTCTCCAGAATTGCTGACTCAGAATCTGTGCCTAATGACTTGTGTCTCAATATTTCTCGTGCTAAAACCATAAAAGGAAAAGTTACATGTACCGATTTTCCACATTAGCTGAGTTTGATCCTCAGTGATGAGATAATGAAGGTGCAGATTGGAGTGCCTCAGCTGTGACCTCTCTGCCTTTCTTTTCTTGTATTTTTGTCCTTTTCTTTCCCTACTTTTGTCTTTTGACTCCAAACAGAAGAAAAGCAGGAAAGCAGAAAATCTGCTGAGGTACATGGGTCCGTATTTGAAGCTCCAAAATCCAAACAAGGTTAGACTTCTTGCTCCAAAGCAGTTTTAAGTGTTACATAACACTTACAGTGCTCTGCTGGACATTTAAAACAATTGTTGTACTTCACACGTGAGTGTCAGACATCCTGCTGACTTTTGATGGCTAAACAAATTATTTAATGTGAATATTCTCTGTGGAAATACGTAGTATAAACACAACTGTTTCTCCAGCTGCTCAGCTACACCTACACACTGCCCAGTTTCAGCCATAAAGGATGAAAATATCATGAAAAGGCATCATATATGTTTTTCAGCCAATTGCATTCTGGCAAGTTATCACTAAATAAAGCGATAACTGATGGTGCAGCAGACATGTCCCTCTAATGTTAACATATCCCTCCTCCATCTGCGCCCTAATCCGTATGGGGTCTCTCTCTCTCAGTTGCCCCTCTCACCCCTACTAAACCTGCAGAATGGTTTAGTCCACGTTGACAGGATTGATCTGACTGCTGTCAAGCCAAGTAAGTTATGCTGCAGTAATATGTCTCTCCTAAAGAAAGCAAAGCCAAGACATCAAAAGAGTAAAGAGAAAAAACAGGAAGAGAAATCAAGCTGAGAGAAAACGAGTTTTCCTGTGAAAAAAAGTGAACACAAACCAGAGTAGAAACAGTCCACCTCACAGAAACAATCAGCGTCTTATCCAGTAAACTAACAGAGTCAATTTGAAACCACCAGATTCAGAACAATCTGTAGATTTCGATGGTCTCTAATTTAAAACTGAACCTGCTCCTGCTGCTGTTATAAAAATGGGTTTGTTTGTCATGTTTAGAGTTATTTCACGCTTTTCATGAGTTGGAATAATTGTGAAAGGTGACCCTGAGCTGTGGTGGTGAGGCCAAATTGATATCTTGTCATGGAGCCCAAAATTACGAGTAAAACCCCTGCCTGTTAATATGCGCAGACAAACCTTTTATCAGCTGTTCTCACTGGAATAAAACTGTGTCATTAGATATGAAGTCGGTGCACTAATGTCCCAAAAACTAACGGCTGCTTTGTACCTTTTGTACCTGATAAATCTAACCCCCACTGACTGAATTCTGTGTCTCCTCTTTATGGAGCTGCTGCCACAGAAGCGAGACGGCAAAGCTGGCAGAAGTTTGATGAAGGAAGTAATGCTGAATGACCTGTTGTTAGGGACAATGTGACACTGCAGCCCGCAGTATTTCTCTGAGTGACACAATAACGACTTGTTCTTGCCATTGAACATTGTGGCTCGGTTTGGACTCGTGCCACCGCAGCGCTGTCAGGGTTTTGGCTTCCCGTTTGCCAACTCCCCAAACAAACTCTGACTATACTCCGCCACATAATGGCGCCTTCTTCTCGCACAATGCGGTCACTAAAGTACGACAAAGTGACAACGGCTGATGTGGCGCGGTGGTCTCCGAGGCCGTTCGTCTCGCCTGGCTTGCTCAGAGGCACGCTGGCAGGGTCTTAGCTGAGCTGCTTCCACGCCGGACACCATAACTCACGCTCGCCTCGGCTGGGTGTAATGGTTAAGAGGAACATTGTACGCTTACAGCACTAATGGCAGAGGAATGACATCTATTCTCAATCAGAGCCGATTGAGGGTGAGCGATCCGTTAAGAAGAAGGATAGCCCCGCTTCCCTTGACTTGATTAGAGTGGTCGGCCAGCCAATAAACTCGGGGACAGATATTAATGTAATTGCTGAAGCAGCTGGTTCCTGTCTTGAGTTATGATCCATTGTTTGAGGGGAAAAACAGCGACAGTGGGGGGGAGTCGGAGAGGAGGGAAACCGTGTGCCACAATAACCATTTGTTAAGAGAGAGAAAAAGAGGAAGTCTACGAAAATCCCTTTTGTACAACAGACACAAACAGTTTGAGTGAGTGAAAAGGTCGTCCTAACAGCTTAATAACCTTTTTGTGCTTTGATGAATATTGCTGTCGCCCCCTTCAGTGTAATTGTCGGAGCACATCATACCTGAGAGCTCTCATCGTCGAACATTAGCAATCGTCCTTGTCAAGGTCTCTCCTCGGTGACGACACTCCTGATTTAATTTTCTTTTGCTTTGTCTGGAGTCGGCATTCACATGCTGTCTCCAGGAAAATTAAATCTGAACCACAATAAATCTTCGTTAAAACTTTGTTTTGTTTTACTTTTGTGACTTCTGGCAGCATTATTTTATCACCTGAGCAGTAAAACATGTTCAGATTTTATAACTGTATGAGATTTATCATCATGTCTAGTTGAAAATAATTGAAAATGAAGCATTGAATGTCTTTTAACAGTTTTAATTTGTATTTTTCATTGTATAAGTTGATCTCACTGTATGTTTTTAGTGGTTGCAGTATTTTAAATTCATTACTCTAATTTCTCCTTTAATATTGGAGGCCTCACCAAGGACAGGGATTGCAAATTAGGCATCATTAGAACCTGTAAGCATGATACCTGCTTCGTGGAGTAACATTAAATGTATTCGCCCCATCAAATAAACTAGAAAATAAACAAATCTACCACTATTCACTGCACCTACATGACAAAAATAATGGAAAAGTTCCCCTCAATTCAGACTCTAATGTGTACGTTTCTAAAGCATATACTTTAAAATTGTCTCATACTGCCATCTAGTGGTCAAAAAGGAGCAGTGTAAATATGATGCAGTCACAGGGGAATCATACACAGCTGCACACACACTCACACACACACTCACACACTGCAGCCTGTCCACGCAGCATTTCCTATTCTAAATAAAGCCATGACCTGTTTTAATGTTTAATGTGTGCAGTTTCCTGGCCGGCTAGGGGCCAACGTCAGCACATTTCTGATGCAGCCTAAAAGTCTGCAGCCCTGGCAGCCAATCAGAGCGCTTCCACTATATGGGATCATTTTAATAGAATAATAGAGGAGAAATATCAAGGAGGTTAAATATTTCAGCTGATGTGGAGAAATGTGGAGATGGATGAGAATAAATCTTAGCATTGAGTGAAACTGAGCAAAAAGGATGCTTTGGTGTAAATATGCATGAACACAGAGAGACGAATGACAGATCAGCGTTTTGTGTCAAGTAAAGTCTTAAGATTTTAAGAAATATCAGAGAGCCCTCACATGATGATAAATGATCACAGGTTAATCCTTTTTGTTCCTAAATTGTGTTTCTCCATCGCACTAAACCCAGTTCAGTCTCAGCAGATGACTGTCTGACATGAGTCTGGTTCTGCTTGAGGTTTCTGCCTGTTAGAGCAAGTTTATCACTCCTCCTAACAGGTCAACTTCCACATGATTCTGTTGGTTACGCATTACTCTGGATCACCAGGACCAGCAGCCTTCTAACAACTTAATCCCCATTTCTACAACAAAATAAATACAACAAGTCTGTGCTTGTTTATATCCAGGTAGTAGAGCAATATAGCTGCAACAACAAACTGAGCTACAGTGGCAGGTAGCTGTGCTACCTCTTAGACATGAAATATGACCGACATTTCAGGCCTGTACTCATTTGTTCAACAAACTAGTGACTGAAAAGGGGAGGTGGCGACTTTGAATTGTTTAGTCAACTGCACACACACACACACACACACGCACACGCACACGCACACGCACACGCACACGCACACGCACACGCACACGCACACGCACACACACACGCACACACACAGTCGTCTTTAAATTAGAGTATTAGAGTACATGGTGGCAGCACTTTCGGTTACTAGGGGTGGGAGAAAAAAATCGATATAACACAGTATTGCGATATGTTATCTGGTGATATATCGTATCGCCTCATTTACCAAGAATAGATTTTTTCAGCTTAATTGCTAATGCAAAGTCAAATCTATGATAATGGAGAAATTAAATCAACTGTTTGCCCAGTGAAGTAAGCAGAGGTGACATTACAGAGCAGTAGAAAGTTAGTACAACAAATAAATATAAAGTTTGCAAGAATGAAAATAAAATACAGCATAAATAAGACAAACATAAAGGTAAGACAAATGCTAAATTAGCTAAACAGTTGAAAAAATTGTATAAATTGCAATATATTGTATTGCAATAATCACTGTGTTGCAAAATGTAAAAAATGGCAACAGTATTGTACCGTGGTCCAAATATCGTGATAATGTTGTATTATGGCCCAAGTATCATGATAATGTCGTATCGTATCGTATCGTGCCCTAAGTATAGTGATAATATTATATAGTGATTCCCA